AGTCAAGGCGAGTTCGTAAGTAGAGGTAAATTTTTGGGGCTGGAGCTGGTCATATCTTGAAAAATTCATAAGTAGGGGTGTTCGTAAGTAGAGGTAAATTTTTGGGGCTGGAGCTGGTCATATCTTGAAAAATTCATAAGTAGGGGTGTTCGTAAGTAGAGGTACCACTGTACTTTCCTCTATATCTAATTACTTCTACATCTAGAAATTCTACATTATTGGCATCAGTATTTAAAAAAGTATCAATTACCAACAGATGATAAGAAAGATCTATACCTGAGATATATTGCAGAAATAGCATCAAAGTACAAAATCTTGGGCCAGATGAATAAAAAGCTTGATATGATATTGTGCAACTTTCCATGTGCATTTGACCAAAGTTCCCACTCCCCCAGTATTTAGGAAAAGAGTAAAATGCACCTCTTTTTCCCTTTTAATTGTTAATTATTTTAATGAATGTTTTCATTTTTTAAAATTTTAATTATTTAATTTGGTTTTGTTTTACATCTTGCATGTCTATTGCGGTAAGCCATTTTGTGCAACGTAATAAGCAGAAAGGCAGGGTATACATTCAATAAGAAATAAATAAAAATGTACTTTAAAAACAGTTGTAGAACATCTCAAATATATGCCCTAACTACAGATCTATCGTGTATATACAGATGGCTCACAGACATGTCTTGTCAAAATTAGTCTCTTCAATGTAGAAAACCATGAAACTGTTTAAACCCAGAATATTTGTTCACTGCAGAACACAACATAATTATATGGTACAATGCTCCAGGGTTTAAATTCCAGACCTTTTCCTTCCAACTCTCTGAGTCAATGGATACTTTGCCATTCTCTTGATGGCCTAGAAAGGCATTTGATCTATGCTGATGTAACAATTCTAAGATAAAAATAGTGGTCCCTGCCTCTCCAACTTCATTTCTTGGACAATTAGCATGTGAGAGTTGATTACTTTTTTCCAATTCTTTAATGTATTCCATTTTTGGATAACCATGAATGTCAGAGTGGAAGTTCAGAAAACTAATTATGGCTTCTGGGGAAGAAATGGAGAACTGAAAATGACAACCGCAGCAGAATGAAGAGCCGGTGAGTAGACTGACTCTTCATAATTCCTCTCCAGACAGGGAGAAGATTTGAGATTGCCCACAAGTGCTTCAGACAGTTGCTCCTTGTGAGGAGACCAAAGTCTCTGGCAGGTTTAGAGCTCTGGGAGATGAAGGAATAGCCATCTTGCTCAAACCACAGTCAGCGCCTTTAAGGACACTAGGTTCGCATACTTCCTTTTCTAATTGCTTTTGGAAATTGCTTGTTAACTGTACACATTCTTTTTAAATCTATACTATAAAACCTTGTTTGCCAAATTTTATTTTTCTTTTATTTTTCCCCAAATAAAACTTTATATCATAAGTATTATTTTTAAAACAATATATATTATTTGAAAATCAAATAGCAAGAATAATATAAGCAGTTCCTATAAAGGAAGCAAAAAACTATAATATACAGATATCATAGATGAATTCAAGTTGGCCCCAAAAGGCTTGTGTATAATGCAAGAACACAGTGACACAGTGACCAGATCCCATACTCCAAAATATTATTCTACTTAGTCATCAATTTTACATCAATTTCATTCAACCTGTTAGTTCAAAAGCAGTTGCTCTAATTTTTGTATTCATTTTATTGCTGGCTCCTGGTAGGCTAGTACTAGATTTCTAAATTTAATTAATACATAATGTAGCTGCCATTAACAGAACTGTACTGGCACATGCAACATTCTCAGTGATACATTTTGAACATATTTAAGTAGACATACAGGAATAGTTTGTGTCTGCAGCTTAAATATTATATTATTTAACATCAACATCAACGTTTTAAAACCTTACTCCTCTGCTGCATCATCAACAGATATATCAGACTTTGGGAATTTGACTGTGCCAAGAGTTTTCCAACACACTGTTATAAATGTTATACATGTCCTTGGTACCAACATGCTATTTTTATTCACTATTAACTGCTGTTAAAATTTGAGCCATTCTTTTACAAAAACGTACTATGTCCCCTATATATAGCAACTTGAATAGTTATTTCATTTGGCCTAACTTTAAGCATTTATAACCACAAATAAGCTGGAATGTAAATTTCCTGTTACCTAGTATTACGAACACTGATTTTATATTTTATTCATTTAATACCAATCAAAAACCATACTTCATATTAATTTGTTTTGTTGGCCCATATAAGAATTTATTGGGTATAACAGGGTATAGCAGATATCTGTTATATTTATAAAAGAGTTTTACATCATTTAATTTAAAAACTGAACCAAGCAATAGAATTTTATGTACTGTTATATATTTTGTGACATTAATCTGTCAAGAAAGGTTCGATTTGATAAGAAAGCAACTTCCTGAAATTGTTAGGCTTCTCTTTCAGAAAATTGTTTCCATTCATATCTTCAGTTTTTCTAGAAATGTTGCACTTGCAACCAGTGTAGTACTGTATTCATCTTTGAAGATCTAGAGGGAGTTGTTGACTTCTTTTTTGGTATGGCCTCTACAAACATGGTTATGATGCACAGAATCTAGGAAGAGTTAAAGGTTTATCAGAACAAATGCTGACTTCAGAACTTTTTCCATTTCAGTTTTGAAATGAACTTTGCCGGAGGCCAGACTATGGTTTTTATGTAGTCGACAAGCTGGAGGCAAACAAATGTCTAATAAAAATAGGTGTACCACCCATATGTTTGCATGCACACTTTTAAGAAGACAAACAAATTGCACTGACACCCCCCCCCAAAAGTACCAATTAATTAGATATCAGGGTAAAATGTCAGTACAGGCAGTCCTCATTTAGCAACTGCCTCAAAGAGCAATCATTTGCAGTTATGAAGGTGATGAAAAAGTAATTTTACAACCAAGCCTCACATTTATGACCTTCGCAGGTCTGTAAAACAAAGGAAAGCTGAAGTAAGATCATAAGCATAGTCACAGTTTCACTTAGCGATCACTTCACTTAACAACCAAGTTTCTGGTCCCAGTC